TAGATATAAATTCAAGTGCAAAAGTGCAACCTAATTCAAAAGTTAATCATTATTTTAAAATGTCCCTCTGCAAAGAAATCCTATCAGGTGAGAAAAAGAGAAGCACCCCGGTGAGGAGTTGGTTCTGCGTTCCGGTCCTGACTTATCCTTCATGACTCTGCACTGTTGACCAAGTGCTTAGTCTCTCTGCCTCGATAAGGACAGCATTAGGATGGTCTACTTATCTTCAGATGCTGTCCTGAAGACGATCGTGACGCATTGAAAATAATATGGGTAACTTAGTATCCTTTGAAGCTAGAAAATGTTTTACTCTTTTTTGAGTTTCCAGAAAACCACTTTTGAAAGTGAAGCACAATTTTATTCTCCTTTATTGTTTCTCGGATGAAGGAAATACCAAAAAGGAGACATGTGTGAACATGATTCCAAAAGTTGTTCCCATACAGTGATGCTTTGACAGCTTGTTATGAACCACAAATATTGGAAATTTAATCTTGAATAATCAATCCCTTCAATGAATTCAAATAAAAACAGTAAGGTATAATTTGGGGCTTGACTTTAGTTACTTCGACTCATGTGTGCCCAACCTAGATGGTTGCTTGGTTTCTTTTGAAAACCCTTTTAAAATACTCATAATGGTTTACTCCAAATCATTTAATATATTTTAGTTTAATATTTCAGAAGGTATTTTAAGAATGTTATAAGTAATTATCAGAATAAATACTGTAGAGGATATGAAAACTTTTTAATACACACATGAACATACACACACAGAAACACAAACAATATTAAATAAAAATGAACAGACATGTTTATCTCTTTAACACAAATAATCAACAAGATAATGCACATAAAACAGACTTGAAAGATTTTTAAGATACAGACTATAGTTATAAATCCAAAAATTCATTTAAATTTAAAAAGATTCCCAAGTAAAGATGACAGCTGCACACTGATCATCCTCATTTACCTCACTGAGAACTAAGGCACATGGTTGCAAGAAGGTTGCGTGGAGATCAGCAGGTTATCTAAGATCTAGAAATCAAGTAAAATAAACTCTTACACAAGATAGCAATCCATGACTTTGACTTCAGTAAAACTACTCTATAATAGTTCAGATAATCAGCCAAACAGGGTCTCAATGGAAGGAATGAGGAAGAGAAGGGAGAAACAGTAAGAATATGTAGCTCACAGAACTACAGACTTCCATTTTCTACTTGATTAGTTCAAGAAACTTGAAACTCATTTCCATGAGGCAATTCCCTATATAAATTTACCCAACAGTGCTTTGGATAGGAGTCAAATATATCCAAAAGCTTAAATTATAGAATTCCAATAAGCACAGGAATTTTCATACCACAAAATTCTTGATCATAACAGGCTGAGAAAAATTTTCAATTACATGGAAACCTCTAAAGTGTAAAATTCAAACATAAATAAATGGAAAATATGCATCAGCTAACTTACAATTGATTTTGATTCTGATGTTTAACACATAGAATTCCTTACTTATTAATATTGGGATATAATAGATAAAATACTGTGGATATAACATAAATATATATTCCTAATAAGAAAAAAGTTTTTTCTTTTTTTTTCCTTAGGAAATTCAATAGAAGTGCAATGACCCCACAAGCCTTTCTCATCTGAAATAAACTATTTTCATTGAGTTTAGATATGATTTAATGCAAATGAAATCAAATAAACAATGATATAATGATATTCATTTTAAGCATTTTCATTAAAAATTCTGATTTAGTTGGTTCTTGGTTGAGAAATTACCAGTTTGTTTCTTTAATTTTTTTTTTTTTTGCAGTTTGAATATAACATACTGTTTAGCTGCTGACTCCTAACACTTTTGAATGTTATTTGAATTAACCTTACCCAAAGAAATAAACCTTACATACATGTAAGGTATGCAGAAAACAGAGGTTTATATTACCAGACTCTGATATTTGTTAATGACTTGAGTTTGACCCTTGGAAAACAGAGATAGAAATATTGATTGGATGACAAATTAGTTTATGTCTGAGCACAACTTATACTCTCTAAGCTATTTTTGAGAGCAAAATATGTCTGTATTTGAGATTGTTGGCTAATGCCATCAGACCTCTGTTTTACAGTAAAGTTTGAATGTTTTAGTTAAAAATAGTTGGACAGAAAGAAATAATTGTGAGTTGTTCTAGAGTAATCCTAGAATTCATATAATTTCTAAGTGACTGTGATCCAAAAAGTACATGCTTTAAAAAATATATAATAATCTGTAGGACGGAGGATTCACATTTAGGCCTTAGCTTGAGTATCTACTGACTTAAGAATACAAAAATATTTGTTAGATGGAATGAACTCATGAATGAAAGCTGCAGGATACAACTACTTTACTAATGCTTTGAGAGGATGAAACAAATTTGGAAATGAATATACAAGGCAATTTTTTCTGTACCAAGTGGCACTCCAATGTATGAACCTATTTTCCTATTTTAAAAAGAGACAACGTTGGATTCAGTCTTTAAGAATCAGATCAAATTTCCTTTCAGCATTCCAAATGAAACTATCCTAGTAACCATATACTCTAGTTGAGGAGACAAAGAGAGGTGTGAGAAAAAGGGAACCTAAAACTACAGTCCAGGTTTTGACTCCCTCCCAAGAGTTTAATTCATTCCTCCACATTCCAATTTACAGTAAAATGGAATTGGAACATTACCTGAAAGGGAAAAAAAGTCACCAAATCTGTTCAGTGAGTTCAGGCATAAGCAATGAAGTAATAGTGAAATTTTTGCATATCCTAAAAGAAAATTTATCTCTGAAATAGCAAAATTAGCATGCCTAATTGGGAGAAAACACAATTAAGGCATAATCTAGAATTTCTCTGAGAGTCCAAATAAAATAGTCAATGGCTTGTACTCTTGTAAAATGGCTTTAAGAAGGCATTCTAATGAGCAAACATCTCAGTCTTCCTGCTTCACCAGTTTCCTTTCTGTGTCCTTCCGAAACTATAAATTGTTGGAGTTCTTTAGGCACATGGAGGAATATAAAAGATTGGTAAGTATTAGATCAGAATATGTGAGCAATGCAGAAATAGGGCTTAGCAGGAAATTTTTATTTCTCTTTAAAAAAATCCTAGTCATTTCTTACAGCTATCAAGAAGACTGAAACTGTCAATTGTCTTTGACAAAATGAACTGCATTCCATGTGCCCTCAAAGCAAAATCTCTCATGACAGACAAATCAGAACTAGATGGGATAGCATAAGGGAATAAAAGCAAGATGAATGACTAAAAAATAAGATACCATTGAAGTATGATATATGAAAAATGGCAGCTGTGCTTATGGCAAAAGGAGGATGAAATATGGAAAAGCAAGAAGGAAATAAATGCAGACAGGACAGAGGACACATGCTCAAATTATTAATGACCCAGTTTTGCTGTAGGGACTTTTCTATTTTCATTGGAACTTAGTGCATTTTTGGTTAGTTGTCATGTTTATTTAAATTTATTTGAATCTTCATATACTTGGAGTGCCATATGTTGTTTTACAAAACATAAAGTATAATTTACTGATAAAATTTCCAGTGTCATAGGTTAGCCAAAGCAACACATTAGAAGACTTTTAAAATTTTCAAAATAATTTTTGTAAGCCATTTAATGCATCCCAACTTTTCACTGAGAATAGCATGATGATTTGTTTATACTTACCCATCTTCCACGCTGGTGATTTAAAATAAAACAGCTGTAAGAGCTAGAACTTCTCCCATATCCCATATTTGATCAACAATTTTATCTTGCTGATAATTCCTTCAATGAGCTTCTTGTAAGTTCATTCACACAAAATTTGTGAAATTTAGCCAATAAACTCTTCAAAGTTAATGCTATACTATTAACAACACATACATTTCCAATGAAAGTTTGAACAGACCACTTTTGCAATGATTTCAATCAAACACCTACTTATTTCATTTGAAGGAAAGGAAAAAGGCCTATTTGCCAGAATTATACATCCTTTTACATGACAGACTAGTGGGCTCTTAAAAAGCAATGTGCAATCAACTCTACCAGCAGAAAATAAGTTTAAATACTCAGAAATATATTCCAAGCTACAAATGACAACTGAGTTATTTGTTTGCATTTGCCAGACAAGTACCTCTGGGACATGATGAAGTTTAAAATGGAAGAAAGGGCAGACAGTACACTGCATTTTATTCAAATTAAGCTCAACAGGTTTTTAAGAAATGATACTATCAAGATGTTGTTAAAAATTATCCTATACATGTATCATATTGTTAATAACTCTGTCATTTGTTAAGTTTATGACCATATCCACCAAAAAATATTTACTTTATTTGCAGATTTGAAAGTTAACATCAATGTGTTTTAATCAGATTCCTTGGAACACTTGTATGTTAAACATTAAGTATATTTAAATACACAAAATTAAAAATAAATGAGCAATTTTTGAAGAACTAAAATGTTTTAACAATTTTACAATATATATAAATAGGTTTGGGTGACTATTAAAATGATCACTTGGGTAAAAAAAGTTAACTAAAACAGTATCAGTTTAAGTTTCTCATTATACTCTTCAGTAAAACAATAAATGGACAAATTTTAAGAAAATCAGAATTTTTAAACAAGTCACCCTTCCACTCCTTGATATCACTATTGCAGAGATAAACTGACAGCACACAGTAGGGGGGCTGCCGACAGAAATGCATGGTGTTCAGTCAACAGGTCACATCCATCACAGAACGAGTAATGTAATTAGTAGTCGTAGTTGTACCTGTGCCCAATGTCTTCATGACTTTGGGTATGGAATAGCAGAATTGTTAATCATTTATCTTATGAAAAGATATTTTTATTCTGTTCTGTTTGTACTTAGCTGACAAGCCGAGCAGAGGTGTCTTCCTTCCCTAGAGCCAGTGGGTTCATTTGGGAATAATGTTACAATTTTTGGTTGCTTGTTATTATTATTTTGAAGTATTATTAAATAAAAAAATAAAGGTCTTGGTTTTGTAAGAACATGTTTTATGTATGATTGAAGTTTTTACAACACTCCAAAAAAGCCATCCGATGTTAAATTTAAAAATAAAACCAAAAGCATTTTCTGACATAGTACACATGAAAAATTGGAAGTCCCAATATCTTCAGTAGAAGTTGTAGAAAGTGTATGTCTCCTTGGAGCTTGACCCCCACTTAACACAGCAGAAAATAAGGTACTATACTGTAAACAAAAAGTACAGTAGAGGACATTGTAAATTCACATAAGAATAGTTCATAAACATTTTGGTCGTTCCATAACAGTTTTTATATAAAATGAATTAAAAAAACCTTTAGACAGCTGTCATCACTCTTTTTTGATCACTTTTCACTTATGTGCACACAAACATATTTATATAGCAATATACTGACGCACAATTACATAGATATAAACAATAATTACTGCTTGTAACTGAGATGTGCATTATCCAGTCAACATTATCCATAGTTGCAACACTCTTACATTATGTATTCTTGTCATGTTGTATCTATAAAAACATGAAAATATAACTTTACATTATTTCAATTATTTACATTAGTTCAAGCTTGACAGAGAAAAATTGGTAAGCTCAATTTTTGGAAGAGTAGGCCCAAAGGTACAATAAATAACATTGATTGTATATAGTCAACGTTTTCATTTTTAAAAACTCACTTTAAGTACAATATGGAAATCATTAGTCTGCAATTTGGTCATCCTAGCATTTACTATTAAAACATAAAATGCACCTCCAGCATTCTTGATGAGGAGAAATACCCTGAAATTATTTGTATTACCTCGGGAATTGATCAGGGACAGCAAAATTTTTGAAGAATATCATGATTTGCCGCCTGCCACCATGGTGGGTGCAAGTGGCTACTGTTCAGTTTTACATGTGTCCTTCCCTTCTGCAAAATATAACAGGAATATCTTAAGACACTTGGTGGAAGACCAAGTGATACACAAATGTTTACCTGCAGAAAAAAACCAAGGATACAAATATCAAAAGTAACTTAGGTGTAAATTACTATTTACAACCCAAAATTAATTTAATTTGAAGGTCTTTAATAGCAACAAAGTTATTTTATGAAGGGACAGGTTCCTTAAATTTATCAACTAGAGAAATATAAGCTATTTAATCAAAAGTTACAGATATCTGACATTTTATCCACCCTGGGCATATTAAAATAAGAATTCCACCTGAGGAAAAAATATAAATAATATATTAGGATTGAATTTATGGGTGGGAACGGAAAGAAACTATATCGCAGGTGACTCAAAAATGTTTAAAATATTCACCGTTTATAAAGTAAACATCAGCTCTTATAATTTTAAAACTAAAAACTTACATTTAGTTTATAGAATTTAAGTCAATGGGAAACTAAAAAGTTACTTTCAAGGCATTTCTGACTTCATTTTCAATGAGCTCTGCTCTTTTGCAAGCTCAAACACTTTGGAACTTCACACATTCTGATGTTTGTTTTTTGAATATTAGCTTTTTAAATCTATTAGCATTTATCTATATAATCTAAATGCTTTTGTACTAACAAAAATTTCATTATATATAGTAAGCCATGAATAACAGATTCAGATATTATTTGGGGGTGAGTTTATATTTTTAAAAATCATCTGATCTTTTTAAAAGGGGACATTTTCTCTGGGAACCTAGTAACTTAATAGTGTCTTTAAACTCACTTGATTTATGACCAAACTGTAGCTAAGCAAAATTAATTGGACCACTTGCAAATAAAACAATAGAAAAATGTTTATTTCAAATGTCAAGCATTGGCAAGTAATTTTCTATTAACACCAAATGTTAAAGAATAGGATACATTAAAGTTTTAATAACGATATTAAATTACAAGACTGGAATCTTCTCTTGGTTTTCTTCCCTTAGCATTTACATATTTGGCTTTGGAAAATACAGAACTAATGTCTAAAGCCTTTTTTTCCAATCACTTCTCACTCAGTAATTGTTTTTAGTCTTATCCAACCAATATGGAAGCAAATTTATTTAAAAGTCAGTTTGTTTGTGAAAATACCTAAAAATATTTTTTTAATTTTAAATGTTTTTTTTTCTTTTTCTTACAAAACATGTCACATCTTGATGCAGTTGATGTCAAGTGTGCTTAAGTCATTATGAATCAAGAGACTAACAATAGTGGCTGCAGAAACAGGTTTGTTGTCTGTACAAAGACTTCAGTTAAATAATAGTACTCCCATGTTAGCTGTGCATGTCCACCAGGCTTTGTCTGTAATTCGAGTAGAAAAGGATGCTGCGTTTTTAATTAATCATTCCTTACAACTCAAGATGAACTCCGCAATTAAAGAATTCTTGGCTGAAAGAAAAGTCTTCAAGATATGGGATGCCTCTTACCACTTTGACAATAAACACACAAGAAAACCATTGTGTAAGGCACTCAAAAGGTTCTTATCAATCACGAGCGATCAGTCACACTGACATTCATTCCCATGCCAGGACTCACGTAAGGGA